TCCCCATTCCCTACTCCATCAGGCAGCTCTTAGGCAACCTGAAGAAATGAAGTACAGCATGGTTGAAGAAGAGGAGTGAAATGGACATTTTATTACATATGGTAGCAAAAACGGGATGAGTCAAATCTGGAGTGATGGTCTTTATATCAATTCTCCAATGTATAGGCCCTCACCTAAACAAACATCTTTTTCTCAGTCTTGGATGAGCAATGGGATCTCACGTAGGAAGAGCTGGGGCCCATTCATGGGGGATGATGCCTAGTGAATGCCACTTAGTCTCACTGAAGATGTCTGAGGGCCAAAGCCATTGGGGAGGTGCCTCCTGGGGGTAGGAGATCATTCTAGAGGAGTCTGTCAGAGAAGTCAGGAATCTCTCAGGCCCACAATGCAATAAGAGCCATGAAGGCAAAACCAGTGGCTACACAGCCCCACTTGGCCAGAGGAGCTTCAGGACCAGCCAGCTCCCGGGGCAGAATTTCTAGGAAGGTGACATACAGGAAGGTGCCAGCTGCCACACTCTCTAACACAGCCTGGGCTAAGCCTCGTGCCCCTTCAGAGTCTCCTCCAGCCACAGCCAGCCCTAAGGCTAGGCCCAGGGGGGACATGAGCGCGAACAACAGTATAGACAACACGGCCCATCGGGACTCAGTGCCTGTCTGCACCAGCCGCAGTCCTACACCAAACACTACGAGCCCCTTGTGAGCCAGGACAGCAAGACAGAGCTGCACGGTAGCTGCTACTGTTGTCTGCAGCCCCACAGCTAGACCTTCAAACACCGAGTGGAAGGAGAGTGAGAGCAGGAGGATGAGGGCTCGAAAGGGGCTGCGCGAGGGCGAGGGCAGAGGTCCGTGGCTGTGGAATCCGAGCACGTGAGCGCCCCCGCATTCCTCCTCCTGCACTTCGGATCCTCCAGCAGCTCCAGGACAGCACTGCAGTGCCAGCGACTCCATAAAGAAGACCAAGAAGAAGCCCAGGGAGATGACGAGCTCTCCGTAGGGATAGTCTATCTGGGAACAGAGAGAGGGGCTGTGAGACGGGAAAGGAAGGAAGGAGGTGCAAAGGATGGACTGAGGAGAATGGGAAATGTGGGACTAGAACATAAAAAAGGGTCGGGAATGAAGCCCAGAGGAGATACGGACATACGACAACAAGGTACCAGAGGACCAAGGGATACAGGGGCAGTAGGATTAGAAATACGGAAAACGATGTGAGGCATATTAAAGAGTGCAGAGAAAGAATGCAAGAGCAAAGCAAGAGCTTGGTCTGGGGTTCCATAAACCCAAAAGAATCAGGTTGGCTCCTCCTACAGTGTCCGAGCTGAGGAGCAGAGGGTTCTGGTATTCCTCACGTCCTCCTCTCCAAAGGCTCTGGGGGTGAGAGGAGTCTCTGGTTCTCCTCACCCTCCAGGTAGGGACTGGTGGGAGATACTTATGTGAACTGAATTAGCATCACCAGAAAAATTTTGTTCACTCTCTATTCTGTTCTATGGAGGAAAAAGCAGAAATTAGACGGAGGATGGAGCAGCTCAGTTTCCTGTCCTGTCCCTTTGGTTCCACTGCTTTCTTTAAAGCCCAGTCTGACCTCTTGTCATTATTCCACACAACACAGGAGCTGTCATCTTCCCTGTTGTTCCACCCAGGAGTCATGTTCTTGGCTCCATCACTCCCCTCCCCCACCCCGTCCCTTTTTCCCTTGGTTCTGTTCATCATTCCGGCCTCCCAGCCCTGATACTCAGCTGCTCACCTGCATCTCAAATTTCTGGATTTCCGATTCCATTCCCTCCAGGGCTTCAGCGGTCATGTGCATGAGCCCTGCTCCCAGGAAAACGCCGGCAGAAATGCAGCCCAGGAGGCTGAGGACCCGGCGGTGACGACCTAATGAAAAGCAGGAGTTATAATCCAGTTGGCAATGAGGAGATGGACAAAGGTGACTAAAGAGCAACAGGCAGCACCCGACATCCCAAGCTTGGGGATGGTGAAGGAATCAGAGCAAGGTGTCAGGATAAGGTGACAGGGTTGAAGTCAAACCTGTGTTATGCAGACAAAGATACAGAAGGGCTATACCTGTGGCCACCTTGATCTGGAACCATTTGAAGCAGATGGGAATGAGGCCACAGACCAGGGTGAGAGCCAGCAGGGCAAACAGGCAGCCAATTTTCACCCCTAATAGTGGCTCCATCCTTGGGCCTCAGAATGACAAATGGAGCTACAAGTTTTGGAGCAAGTGTGGTGCCTTAGGTGGTCAAAGCTGCAGTGTCCACTCCTGCGATTGAGGAAGGTGTTGAGATCCTCTCTGTTCTGTGCTGCCTCTGCTTACGCAGCCTTGCATAGCTGACTGGGGCCCAGCCCCAGCTTCCCGCCCTCCCTCTACATGAAGGCCCCTCCCCTGGCTCACACTGAAACCAGAAATTCCAGACTCCCTGTCAGGCACAGCCCTGTGCTCTGTCTTCTCTTCTTCAAGCCATGACTAATCCAAGGGCTGTGGACTGTCTTGGTTCATGCCCAGGGCTGGTCTAATGAAATTTCCAGTATTACAATGTTGTTACTGGTACAACTTCCGACTGTGCCTGTTTCCTGATATATACTGTGGGAGAGCGACTAAGAGTTTTAATACGAAGAAAGTTGCACTAGCTCTGAAAACAGCAAGGCCTACCGGAAAACTGAGAAATGAACCAAGTAAACTAAAGGATCCTGGACATACATGGGTGGAATGGAAGATGCAGTTCTGATGGGAATCAACTCTTGAAAATGTATGAAGCAAACTCAGGAGGAGGGGGGAGCCGATGAACCCTGAGAAAGACGAAAAGGAAGGAGAGAAAAAACCAGAGGCTAGGCAGCTGCTGGTTCCCTATTCAGGTGGCCTAACAACCCTGAGACCCGTTGAGCCAGTTCTCAGAGTGCTGGGGCGGGGCGGG